CTCTAGTAGTTATTTCTCCTTACGACGTTGGTCAGATAAAAGAGCATATCAATGACCGGCCCCATAAATGGCAAGAATGGTATAAGCTCGATGAGTGTAATATTCCAGATTCAACAACTCCTCCTCTAGAGCTTCATTGGTCAAATTGGCGAGGTAAGAACAATCCTCTTCCGAAGTAGACGCTCAATTTTTTGGATTACGGGGTTCTGATATCGCCAAAAATACATGAGCCACATGACACAATGTACACAAGACTAGTCAGGGATCACCAAGAATACAAAAATCTCTAGTAGACCCTAAGGCGGCTTCCCCTCGAGAATTCGGACGGGAGGGCCAAAGAAAAGTGCAACGCCCCGAATTCTAGATTAATCATCTATTTAATTAATTTAGCATGAATATATGAGTCATTGTGAAATATTTGATATATACGATGTTTTGGTGTTTTTATATGAGTACTTGTGACGATTTGTAATTTTTTGATGAATATGAGGTATACTATGATGTTGAGATGAATATGGTGTTTAATATGATGACTTGTGCAGTGTATGATGGGATAATAAGAGATGTTTAGAATTTAAATAATTAGTGGGGATTACTTATATTTAATAGTAATTATCTAGAATTATTTGGATTAAATAAATAGAATAGTGGTGTAGAGAAAATAAGGGCAAGATAGTCATTTGAGAAGAATAAGTAAGGACAATAGTGGAATACCATATTCGGGGTCCAAAGGGTAAGTTTGGTATAAGAGAGGTTTGAGAGTTGGAACGCTCATTCTGTGCAATCGTAACATTTGGAAGAACGTTGTGAAGAGGAAAAGCTAGGACACAGAGAGGCGGGAGGATTTTTGTGATAGAACACCAAGGGAATTAAGTTTGCTGCTATAATCTAAGGTAAGGGGTGTTTATCATTGTTATTATAATTGATCTAAGGTTTAGATGATTATAGTTTTGTGTTAGGTTTTGGTTGATGATGAATATGTGGTATTTGATGATGAATTGGTGAAATTGTGGTGTGTAATTATAAAGAATTGATGCATATGAAGTATAGTATTTTGGGATGTCGTTATATGATGAAACTATATGAAATACTAATGTTTTGAGACTTTTAATATGGTAAAATTGCAAGAAATTGGGACTGGTTTTATGCAGGAAATCACAAGAGGAAAACCATGTTCGTGCAGGATCATCGGGCGATGGGGTATCATCGTCGGGCGACGGTGACGCGCTTGGTCGTCTTTGGGAGAGATAAGAGGCTACAAGGGGCATAAAAGATGTATGTTACTGAAGTTTGTCGCTCTAAGCGTCACCGGGAAAAGCGAACGCGAAGGGTGCGTCGCCAGACGATGAAGTGGTGTCGTCGGGCGATGGTGTCCAGAACTGAAGGGTTGTGAAGGATTTTTTAGAAGGCCATAACTTGAGTTTTAGAACTCAGTTTGAGATTTCGTTCAAAGTGTTCGATAGCTAACATGATAAACTTAAATTAGATGGGAAAAAATGAGTAATAGGAAGTATATCCATAGTTCCTAAGTTAGGACAAAGTTAGGTTTTCCGTGTTGGATTACTATGATGTTGTGTTTATTATGATGATATGATAATATTATGATGATGTTTTGTTTATTATGATGATGTTGTGATGAATTCATGCATGATGATGTGTGTTGATTAGTCGTGGTCATGTTTATATGTTGTTGCGCATCATGCATTCATGGCATAGTTGTGAACTTCGGTCCATTGATGTTGTTAGGACTTCGGTCCAGTGATGATGATAGGACGATAGTCTAGTGAAGGCATCAATCACATAGTATAGATTGAGTGAAATATTATTAAGTGCTCTGGTTCCAAGCAGGAATCGATCCTATTGGTGGGGATCTTTGGAGATAACAATGACTGAGTCATCAGTGAAGTTTTGGTACCACATGCATGAGTCAAATGAAGTGCATTTACATTATATGTGATATTGCATAATAATTGATTACATGATAACAATAATGTGATCCTAATTATGATGTTTGATGACGCGTGCTAATATGACGATATAGTTATGTGTTCAATATGAGTATATGATGATGTGAGTTTGACATAAGGTTTATTGATGTGTGATGTCTTGCCTATGCGCATGTCTACTATATTTATTCCTTATATCTTTTATAATGATTATGATTACTCACCCTTTATGCTTGAAAATGTTGCCTCTATCCGTGGCTAACTTACAGGTGATCAGGAATAGTCCGTTGAAGTTTAGAGGATAGCTTCAGAGTGTGTTTATTTACTTTCCGTCAAATAAAGTGGGTCTTGCTCTGATATGTAACATCGGGGTTTTGGGATCGTTTGAACTATGAATTTCATGTTCTTTGTTTTATTCTAAGATGTCGATTCACCTTTCATGGTGCTCGAGTTGTTTTGAATTTTTATTATGAATCATGAAGTATGATGAGATTTTATGAAGTATTTATAATAAAGGTGTTTTGAACTATGAATTCCACTGTGAGAAGTATGAATATGTATATTGATTTCGATTCAAGAAGGATGTATCTTAAATAATTTTGGAACCCATGCTACGGAGCAGGATTATGTTTTGTATGACATTTACATGAAGATGTGACGCCCTTTGTGGTTTTAATTTGTTTTATTTTCGTAAAAATACATGCGAAATACATGTGGGTTAGAAGGGTGTTACAGAAAGTACTCACCTCTCTAGCCATGAGACAGACGTTGACCCATGTGAAAGTATTTTAAAGACCATCAATAACCAGGGCAACTCAAATTCCCCTTCTTATCTACCATAATATTTTCTTGTTTTTCATCTAATCTACAAATAAGGAAATAGGGAATAAATACTAAGAGCTCACCAAAGATGACCTTCCTCTCTTCCTTGATATTTCATCCCGGAGAGTGACATCCCCTACATGACCTAACTCTTTGATGAAAATGGTCAACCATTCTTTAGACAAATCTCCTCTTGAGACATATCACTTTTCTTGTAAATGTATGATCCATTCCTTGTTAGAAAATGACCTCGATTTGAATACTTGTCAAATAAGCTAGCATATATGTTCTTTGTCCCGGTTTCTATGATGCATATTGTCGCATGAGCCTCTTTGTGGAGAGGAGCAACTAAGAAGAACTGGTTTTCGAAATGCTTTAGGCTATCCTAGAACACTTTGAAACAACGGGTAACCTGCACCAATGTAGTCAAGCCCTGGCGTCGTACGTGGTTTTCCGAACTGCATTGTACTCTGAAAAGGTGGAATAAGAGGGATAAATAGAGTCTTCCTCCCTGATATTCACACCAGTACTGAAAGACTTTGATGTACCCAACTCATAGGGTTTAGTTGCGAATGAGCGATAATAAGGTGGTTCAAAACCTCTATCTCAAATTTTTTTGAAGGGCAAGCAGAGATCCAAAATTGAAAAAGGTACACTCATAGCAAGGTTAATGGTGCATCTTCCATCCTCACTGCAAATCATTTTGTCTCCCTCAGGGGTCAGTACACCCCAATCCGAAGAAGTACCTACATCAAGAGAGGCCCCTTGAGACTCCCTTCACGAGAAAATGTAGAGTAATTGTCGAAATAATGGGTAGTAGAAGCACATTCTTTAGAATTTTTACTCATAATAGGTACCACTTCTTTCAGCTACAAAACGGTAGGTTTTGAAAATACAAATAACAAAAAAATGAAGGTAACGTCTCAAGAAACTATAGAACTAACTCTTCAGAGATCAAATGGTGACTTAACAAAAGAAAGATAATAAACATTATCAACGTCCCAAATCTTCTTAGAGAAATGCTCAAGTGTTTCAGTTTCCAAAGATATATTATGATAGAACCTACAAAAAGAGATATGTAGCATGAGGTCTGTTTAATGCTCGAATTCCTAATGACATTGACGTCACCTCTTGGAATTTCTTTCAAGTCGGGATGCAACCAACATGAAAGGACAAATACGAATAAAATCCTCACACTACAAAGCAGAGGCAAGGGCTTAGAGGACAATAATTATGAGGTAGCCATAAGAACTAACAACGCGACCTAGAGAAAATAATGATCTACCAAGTCACTCATAGGGTAGAGGTGTTATCCTAGAGTAGAGCACATGTGATTTAGATCCAGGGTTCATCCAACAGCTCCATGCATCCTATACTTGAACAATAGAAGGTTGTTATAACTACCTTACAATATAAAGGGGAAACACAACATTTTCTAGGTACACAATTGAAATTCAAACTTTGTTCACTCATCTTGTTCACAAATTAACTTGAGTGTTGAAGTGTTGACCATGTAGATCGGTCCTTCTTTCACGGCAGCAAAAGCTCGAGTCCACTGTTGCATCTTACAACCTCCAATTTTCAATCAATTCTGGTTCTCATGTATATATATATATATATATATATATATATATATATATATATATATATATATATATATATATATATATATATATATATATATATATATATATATATATATATATATATATATATATATATATATATATATATATATATATATATATATATAGAGGTTTGTTAACGTAAATCCATTTATTTTTATGAACGTATATTTTAGCCAACTTTAACTAAAAATGATTAAATACACTTTAAGATGCACATTGTTAAAACACACCTTCATAAAAATAAATTAGACTATTTTAACAAACTCCAGAGAATTTGCTAATATAGATTCACTTATTTTTATGAAAATGTATCATAACAAGCTTTAACTAAAAAAAAAATTAAATGCATATATATATATATATATATATATATATATATATATATATATATATATATATATATATATATATATATATGAGAAATGTTAGAAACTACATACAAACTGATCATTAAAAACTCCCAACCAAACTTTCTGTGAACATTTATAACATTTATCTAACCTCGAAAAACTACTATATATACATGTATGAAGTTTGTGGAAGCCAGAATAGCATCTCCAAAAAGAAATAAAACCAAATATTAACATAATCATTATTATATATCATGAGGCTTATATACATTTGGCTAGCATGGGCAATATTAATAACCCAAGTTATCATGGTGGCTTGTAAACCTAGAAATAATGTACCAGCAGTAATTGTGTTTGGTGATTCTTCTGTGGATTCTGGAAACAACAATAAGATAGCAACACTTCTGAAGAGCAACTTTAAACCTTATGGCCGCGACTTCGAAGGCGGCCGCCCCACCGGTCGGTTTTGTAACGGTCGCGTTCCACCTGATTTCATCGCCGAGGCTTTTGGTGTTAAGAAGAATATACCAGCATATTTGGATCCTGCTTATACCATTGATGATTTTGTTACTGGTGTTTGCTTTGCTTCTGCTGGAACTGGATATGATAATGCAACTTCTGATGTACTTGTAAGTTTCTTTTTCCAACCAAGTATTCAAATAATATAGATTTTTTAAAATATAGTAAAAAATAAAAGTCATGTTGAAATTTCTTTTACTCAATAGAAGATTAAAATTAAGAGTCCTATATAGACTCGTTAAGTATTCAAAATGGCCTAGTAAAAGAAAAATACAAGTAATAATATATAATTTCAATCATTGATGATAATAAAAACCTACATGTTAGGGTTGTCAAGCAAATTGAAGAGGTTGTTCATGATGATTAATGGAGATATGTTGTGGTAGCTATGCCAATGACACCTTAGACATGACAAGGTGTGATACCATGTGTAGTGTTGAGAGAAACAAAGTTATAGAAAAGTAGTATACAATGGCAACACATTAAAAATTGCATAATTTTAATGTTTTTAATGTATCAATAGGAGTATACACAAGATACATTTCACTTCGGATAAAATATATGATGGGTTTATTTTAAGGATTAAAATTTTAATTTTGAAAATATTATTTGTGAGAGTATTATTCACATCTATATGTTTATTTTTATTTTTATGAAAATAAAAGATTCTCATCCTATAATATAGGAATAGAAAATGATAAAATTATGTCTAAAATAAGTTTTTAGAAATAAAAAAATTTTAGGCATAACTTTTTATAATTTAAAACAAATATTGATATAAAAAATATTTCAATATATATTTTTAGGAATAAATTCACAATTCATGAAATAAACGTTGTCATACTTTTTACATTTGTTGATACTTTTTACATTTGTTGATCTTAAAAAAAATAAAGTATTATAGTAAATTTATCCTATTTTATTAGGTTAAATATATTTTTCGTCTTATAAATAATTTAAATTGATTTTAGTCTTTATAAAAGTTTTTATCAAATAATGGTCTGTTGTGAATTTTGTTGTAATTTACGATAAAATTCAATATCAATTTGTGAGGTTAAGAATAGTAGCACCTAAAATAAATGGTCTACGGTAATAATAATTTGTACACAGATAATATAACAGAATAAAGCGAGTAAAAGACGAAGGTTTGTTTATCAAGTTCGATCAAATGATCTACTTTAAAGTGGAGGAGAGAGCAGCTCTCCAATTTACTATACTCAGAAAGTTATTACAACATATTACAAACAATCTACTTTGGAGTGGGATAGAGAATAACTCTTCAATTCACTATACACAAAAAAAAAATAGCCTTCGAACAATTTTGAAGGCACCCAAGAATTACTCTATTTTCTAAGTGTAAACAAAACCCTTGTCTTTTTAAGATTTCCTTGAGAATAGTCAAAACTCTATGTCATGTCTTTAAACTTTTGTTATTCCGTGTTGCTGTAAGCTCTAAGATTGTCACATATGCAAACATATAAACATATAAGAGATACATATTTATAATAGCAAATACCCAACAAACAAAACCCAAAATTACAAATCAATTATATATTGATCCATGGACCGAATCGAAAAAGTCCGAAAACCAGAAATCACTATTCAACGTACAGACAATACTATTCATCATACGGACAACACTATTCATCCATACAAACATCACTATTCATTTGTACGAACAATACTTTTCATTGATCGAAATTTTTTTTAATTTCTATTTTTCAACTTTTCGTCCGACTTTCTAAAGCTTCTGATTTTCGCGGTAAATGCAATCTCAAAAATATGTTTTCTTTCTTTTAATCAACAAAGATTTTAAAACACACATACAATATGGTCCTTTTTTTTTTTTAAATGTATCCTCACTTTTGATTGTTTCTATTAAAATTGTCGCTAATTTAACTGCTAAGTAGAAATAGTCGCTAAAATCGTGTTAAATTGAAAAAATTCATCGCTAAATTATAGGAGAGACCAAAAATACGATAAAATTTCAAGAGAACTATTTTTTAAAAAGAAAAATTTTAAATGTTAAAAGTGAACATCACAAACATGTTTAATTCTATTTTATTTCGGATACCTGATCAAGATAAAAAAAAATCATTTATCACTTTGGATTACATAAAAATAGTTTTTTACTATTTTTCTAATTAATTAATTAATTAACATGGGTTGTCAATATTTTACAGAATGTGATACCACTGTGGAAGGAAATAGAGTTCTACAAAGAGTATCAAGCAAAACTAAGAGCCCATGTTGGTGAAGAGAAGGCAAATGAAATCATAAGTGAAGCATTATACCTAATAAGTTTAGGAACCAATGATTTTCTCGAGAACTACTATATTTTCCCAACAAGACAACTTCATTTTACAGTATCACAATACCAAGATTTTCTAGTGGATATTGCTGATAATTTTGTGAGAAAATTGCACTCACTTGGTGCTAGGAAACTATCCATAACTGGTCTTGTTCCTATAGGGTGTCTTCCATTAGAGAGAGCTACAAATATTTTTGGTGATCATGGTTGCAATAAGAATTATAATAAAGTGGCTTTACAATTTAATGCAAAGTTAGAGAAAATGATTTCTAAGGTGAATAAGGAGCTTCCTCAATTGAAGGCTTTGTCGGCAAATGCTTATGATATTGTCTTTGATATCATTTCTAGACCTTCTTTCTATGGTATGTTTTCTCTATTTCTAATGATTTATATGTCTCAAATCTCAATACCCTCTTCAATTTTTATTGAATTAGGCCGACATAAATGAAAGCAACATATCAATCACGGTGGAGATACTCACAATTCAAAAAGATTAATTAGTATTTTTTTTAAAACTCATCAATTTTAAATTATAACGATTTAATCTTAATCAAACAGCTACCAACTTTTAAATGGATCAGAAAATAGCATTCCATCATTTTGGTACTAACAAGGTAGTCTGAATCCTTTAATATGGTAGCTGTTTTGGATCTAAAGTTATTATAATCAATGCAGCACAGCTAATTAACTGGGAATACAGCTTTATTTTAATTTTAAAAAATCTTTTAAAAATAAATAAAGCAAAGAATGGTAAAAACAGTCTTTATAATCATTCTCTAACATTCATTTTTATTGATGGAATAACACGTAATTTTTTAACTTTAAAAATAAATCTCACATAAAATAATAATGGAAATTCACCGTGAACTGAATTATTATATTTGATGTCAACAACGATTTTTCAATAAATAAGAATTTTGGTCTCCATTCAGAATAAGTATAATATATCTAAAAATGTATTTATCTTAAAATAAGTTGATTTTATTTTTCAATCTATTTTAGTTTTTATTTTTTAATTGTATCATTTAATTAATAAAACTAATTTGATAAATTTAACTTCGTAATTTTTTTTTGTTTATGATTTTTGTTTCACATTTCTGAAGAATGGGTTTGGAAGAGGAAGTTAAGAATTTTTAAAAAATTTAAAATTTTAAAAAATTAAATAATTTAATTGAAATATTGTCATTTTTAATTTTTATTTATTTAGATGGAGTATTAAAATAATTTATGATAAATTCTTGAGATCATTTTTATAATTTTTAAAAATTTTAAGTCAAATTTAAAATATCAAAATATGACTAATTTACAATTTTTGAAAGTTCGAAAGAATCAATTTATTAAATTTAAAAATTATTTGCGATTTATTATCAATTTTTTAAAATTTTAGAGATAAATTTAAAATTTTCATAAATATATGGATCATCTTGTAAAATTAAAAAAAATTTAACATTCATATTATATAGAGTGAAAAAAAACAATTTCTAATTTTTTACTTTTCAATTTTATTTGAAATTTTTTAAATTTAATTTAAATAAAATACTTTATAAATTTATATCATTTTTATTAATTTTTTATATTTTTCATCTAAACAATAGAATTTAATAAATCTGTTTAAATTCCTTAAAAAAATTACTTTACCTCTTTTTCTCGTTAAAATATTTCATCTAAACAAATTCTAACATTCTTAAAGTGTGTTGAAAGAAAATGGTAAGAATTTGCTTTTGAATATGTAAGAATTTACTTTAAATACTTTTAAAAATATTGATATTAGACAAATTCATAGTTCACATTTTGGACAAAAAGTTGGTGTGGCATTTGATAGCCTCTCTAATTTGTTAAGTTGCTTTCAAATCAGTGACTTGTTCACGAGGTAAATCTGCCCAAAATTTAAGCATGTGGTCCTTGTAAAAGCATAAATAATAAATTTGATGATTTCAAATACAGGACTAAAAATTAACAAATTTTTTTTTAATATTATTAAGACAAAATATTAAAAGTAACAATAAGTTGTATTCTGACATGAATTAACTATTCGACTTAATCAATAATGAAAAAACACTGTGTTTTTAATGATTTCTTGAAACAAGAAACAAGGGTGGGACATTTGTAACAGAAGATTTTTGATGAGTTTTAATTTGGGGAGATTTAATTTCTATTCCGCCTGAGTTGACCTACAAAGATGGAAAATGTGTGGTGCTTGTCGATGCGATGATTATCTATGATGTAAATATAAATTTGGAGATGATGTAATATGAGTGTTGAAATGATAAAGTGTAGAAATTTCTCATAAGAAAAATGGAAATGAAGAAGTGATTGGAGATGTAAAAGATGGATTTGTGGAATAGATTGGATGAATACTCCATGAATGATATGAATGTGTATGATAAGGATAATTCATTTTAAAATTTGAATACATAGATGAAAACATCAATTGATAAGAAATTTCTTATCAAACTTATGAATTAGAGTTTTCTACAAATAAATGAGAAGAACGCTAAAAGCTAAGAGAATTAAAATAAAAGATAAACTTCATTTCATTTAATTGATACTCTAATATCTCAATGAGACTACAATATATAATAATTCTAATGAATAATAAACTTAAAGGTCCAAACACTACAAAAAATTAAATTCAACAAAACATTCAAAATAAAATAATAACTAACATAGTTATATTACTAATTAAAATATCTAATTACACTTTTTATTATTATTCACCCCAATTATTGTTATTTCTTTCATAGTTTAAATTAGTTTCAATTAATTTTTAATTCTCCGTTATAATATATATGGCTTACTAAGAAAATAATTCAGATTTGGACAAAAAGTTGGTGTGTGGCATTTGATAGCCTCTCTAATTTGTTGAGTTGCTTTCAAATCAGTGTCTTGTTCACGAGGTAAGTCTGCCCAAAATTTAAGCCTGTAGTCCTTGTAAAAGCATAAATAATAAAGTTTATGTTTTCAAATACCAGATTAAAAAAAATATTAAAATATTATTAAGACAAAATATTAAAAGTAACAATAAGTTGTGTTCTGACATGAATTAACTATTCGATTTAATCTATAATGAAAAACCACTGTTTTGTGTATATTGTACTTCAGATCAGCTACTCGAAATTATTAAACGTAGCCGCCAGCAAGAAACTTTTATATATTTTGTACCATACTAAAGTTTTATTACTATACTTTTATATTTGATCATTAATAGAAATTTACTTCTCTACCTTACAAACAACAAAAATGTGATTGTTTTTTAATATTTTTGAGAGCCTCATTTTTTATTTTGCCTAAGAATTTAATATAATTGAAGAGAAAAAAAGTCAATTATAAGTCAAGTTATGAGTAGAATTGTTTAGAAAAAACAAATAACTGAACTTATTAATCAAATCTGAACTAAACTTTTGTTAATTAACCAAATCTAAGTATAGTTAACCGAATTTAAACTGAAATAATAAATCTAAGATTAATTAATTAAATATATGTTATTTATGGTAACAATTTAAACCAAACTGAATTTAATCAAAACAAAAAATCAAAGTATAATAATTCAGTTTGAAAAAAAAAATTTACTTGTAGTTGGGCTTATAATTTAAAATCAATACATTTAACTAATATTTCAGTTTAGAAGTTTTTTTTTAATAAGCAAAAATTATTAAAGAGAGTATAAGGAATATTCAACCCAAAATATTATATAAAGCTCACAAGGGTTCCAAACAAATTAAAATAGCCTCCTTTAAACACTTACGTGAAGTCTAAGGGAGAGCGCAGCCGATTATAAAGAGTTGTGCAACTCTTCCCTTTATGCCCTATACCCAATCATAACCAAGATGTGGTATTGATATTCATAATCAAATCGTCTAAAATGCAGATATTATTTTCGAAGATGATACTGTTACGTAATCTCCAAATAGACTACAAAACTGTCAATCAAACCATGTCAATGTTCCTCTTTCTTACCTTTCCTGCACGACCATTTGTTAAGTGGTAAAAATGATTCACACCAACCAACTCTTCCTCCATATCCAGCTCTAGCCAACCATAGATTTTCCTCCATACTCTCAAGCTAATCATGCATTTAAACATTAAATGTTCAAGATCTTCCAGTCCATTTAGACCCAAGACACAAACCTTATCCTCTTCATTGTAAATGATCCATCTCCTAACCAATTGATCTTTGGTTGGGAGTCTATTGAGCATTACTCTCCACCCAAACACCTTTGTTTTTGAAGGAGTGCAAGTCTTCCACAATCTTTGTAATACTCCATTTATTTCTTCTAATATGACATCTTCGAGTTCTATATCCCTTAGACAATTGTAACAGCTCTTTACCGAGAAACCTCCATCTTGATTTGGACACCATCTACACGTATCATTATGTTCATCTATTATGTTTACCATCGTCAATATCTCGATCAATTCAAACGCTTCCATGGCTGCCATTGGTTAGGCCAGAACTGCATCTGCATTAACGTGAAAATCCCAACTCCAACCATTTATTGCACCGCTCCGCATCTTGTATACCATTATTATGGGCTTAGAAGAACAACTAAATAACGCAGGAAAAATGTTCCTTAGAGGTTGTTCTCCCAACCATCTATTGTACCAGAACATAATCTTTCTACCTGCACCAATTTTAAAGGTTATGTTACCTGCAAAACAATAATAAAAAAAATCAGTTTTAATCCAGTTGGCCGCTAGCATATCCTTCCACCAAGGAGAATCTTTTCTGGTTATTTTAAAGTCTTTGCCCATGATCACAACGTGTTCTAAGTTACCATATCTCGCACACAAGATTCGGTTCCAAATGGCTCTCACTTCTTTCAGCACTCTCCATTTCCACTTGCATAGTAATGCTTTACTGAAATACCCAATGTGTCTTATGCCAAGACCACCCTCCCTTTTTGGTTTGAACACATTATTTCAGCTCACCCAGTTTATACATCTGTTGTCTTCCTTTCCGCACCATAAAAATCGGCTCTGAATTCTTATAACCTCCTTAATGATTTTAACAGGAGCTTTATAAAAAGACATAGTGTAAACCAGTATGCTTGATAACATAGAGTTCAACAGTGTTACCCTCTTCCTAATCGATAGAAGTCACGTCTTCCACATTGAAAGTTTTTTCTTTAAGTTGTCTACCATATGATTCCAACTTGCACATCTACGAGGATTAACGCCCACGAGAATGCCTAAGAATTTAAATGGTGTGATGTCCCTGCTACAATGTAGAAATTGTGAAGCACACTCCATAAACTCCTCTTTCATATCCACCCCAATTATTTTAGTTTTATAGAAATTGACTTTTAAGCCAGACACTAATTTGAACTCCCTAACGATAGCCTTGATACTCCATAAATTTTTCTAACTTCCCCTTCCCTCAATGACGGTATCATCCGCAAATTGAAGAAGCCTCACTTTCGTATCTTCATTCAATTTATACCCTTCGAATTTATCGTTCTCCACTGCCATTTTGACCAAACCAACTAGACCCTCTGCAACCAATGTGAACAAGAAAGGTGACAATGGGTCACCTTGTCTTAACCCCTTCTCCACCCTAAAATCTTTGGTTGGGCTTCCGTTTACCAGTATTGACATGGTACTGTTGAATATACACGCTTCCATCCATCGACACCACAAATTTCCAAAACCAAATTTGACTAACATTCTGCGCAGAAAATCCCAGTTGACACAATCGTACGCTTGTTGGAAGTCTGCCTTGAACATGAAACACTATTTCTTCTCTTTGAATGCATGATCAATGATTTCATTAAGAGCTAATACTCCACCCAGTATTTGTCTTCTTGGGATAAATGCCGATTGAGTAGGTGAAATTATACCATTGAGCACCCCTTTGATTCTGTTAGCAATAATTTTTTACAGGGTTTTGTACAGGCACCCCACGAGACATATTAGCTAGAATGCATTCAAGCCTTGGGGATTAAGGTTTTTTTGTATAAGCGCGATGAATGATGTTGTTATGGCTTTGGGAGACATGCATTTAAAAATAATTCATGCACAAACTTTCCAATATCCTTTTCTAGAAAAACCCAACATTCTTGAATAAATTTGAAATTGATCCCATCGGGACCCGGACTTTTGTCTCCGTCTGAACCCCACAACGCAACTCTATTTTCTTCCTCTGTGAATTCTATTTCTAATGATACCTTTTCCTCTTCAGAATTTTTTTTGAAACCGAACCCTTCTAGAAACGGTCTATTTACTTCATCCTCTTTAAATTTTCCTTCAAACACTTTATAAATCTTGTTACGGATCCCCTCTACATCTTCAAATCTCACACCTTCACTATTAGTAACTGAAAATATTGAATTTATTCTCCTCCTATATTTTATCACTGCATGGAAATATCTCGAATTAAGATCCCCTTCGGCTAGCCATATTTGTCTTGAATTTTGTTTCAGTAAACATTCTTTGAGATGAAGATGTTTCTAGAGCTCCTCCTTGGATTCAACTCTTGATTTTTCCACCAGGTTGCTATCATTTGGATTTGCATTACTACTTATTCTATCACACTCATTTAGCTTCAATAATGTCTCCTTTATCTTCAAATCCACCCACCAGGACCACTCCCTGTTCTAACTTCTCAACTTATTTATCAAAATTTTAAATTTTTCCTTTAACACGTATGTTTGTCTTCCTTTCACTTCAATAGCTCTCCATACCTCTTCCACAAATCTTTTGAAATCCTTGTGCTCGAACCAACAATTGTTTACCCTAAAGGGTTTTGGACCCCAGTCCATTTCATTAGCCTTTAACCAAATTGGGGAAGGATCTGATATGTCTTTATCCCTAATCTTCTTCCCACTATCGACCAACTATCCACCATAGCCTTCGAGAGTAAAAACTTGTCTAGTTTACTCTTAGCACTCCCATCTTTATTTGACTGTGTGAATCTTCCTCCAACCGTTGGTACCTCAATCAATTCCAAAGCATCGATGAAATCATTAAATTCATTCAATTTTGTTTCCCTTGATATCTCATTCCTCTCCACATTCCTCCCCACCATTTCAATCTTGTCTCTAATACTGTTAAAATCTCCTCCAACACACCACCATCCTGGCCCGAAATTATTCTTCATCTTCACTAGTTCTTCCCATAATTCCTTCTTTTTTTCTCTCAAGCAAGATGAGTAAATATTGACAAAATAACAGACCTGGCCTTTGAAAATTGAACACATCCCCAACGCTCCTTCTGTTTTGAAACTGAATAACGGTTCTACCACCCTTTTCCTCCACATTGTTAAAATCCCACCAGAAGCGCCTTGTGAGTCTTTTGTTGTCCACTGCATGTCTTTATCCCCCACAGTGATTCCACAAAAGCATTATTCACCTGTTGTGTTTTTGTTTCTTGAATGAATGCCATGTTCATTTGCCCCTTCACCAAAATCTGGGTTAATCTTCTTCGCTTCAAAGATAGCCCACATCCCCGAATGTTGAACGGGACTAAATTCATTTTAAACCGTTGTTTTTCCCCCAACCTTACCTTCATTCCTTCTAAATCCCTTTTCTCCACCCCCCCTAATTGCTTCTACAAAGATCCCATCCCTGATATCCCTAGGAATCCCTAATTAATTAATTTCATTCCACACTTTATTTGCCAAATCATCCTCCTTCCCAACCGCATTCCGATCATCTTCTTCTACATTAACGACACCAACAGCCGAATTGCTACAAATTGTTGTCCTCTCCGATGATTCTACTGGAGAATCCTTTGAGTTTGATGTAATGTTGTTGTCCATTCTTCTCGCAACCCCTTTACCGATTTCCTTCGATGGTGTTCGCAGTAATACTAAAAATATTGATTTGGAGATTTTATTCTCTTCATTGTTCATATCTGAGTGTTTGTTTGTGTTGAGGTAGTGAATGCCTCTCAGAATTATTGTTTGATGATGTGTCATTAGAATGCTACTCTTCAGTGCTTTGGACTTAGAATGTTTCCTCAATTGAACTTTTTTTGTTTTTTTTTTCTTCTTGTCCCTAACACCAACGTCCACATCTAAAGTTTTTCTTAGCTCCACTGAACCTTTTTGTTTAAGCCTTTTTCCTTTTCTTTAACTTTACTTCTTTTATATTTGTTGACTAACTGAAACGGCTCGGTTTAATTCTTTAAAAAAATTTAAATCCAGTTCGATTTAATTTTTCTGTTTTAGCTATACTATGAATAGCTTTAATTAAGAGATTGTGTTACATTAACTAAAAAATATTTGTTGTATCAAAATTCAATCTTATATCTAATATCTAATGAATTGTTTTTTATTTATTTTGGAATCACTCTAGTCATAATCAAAATATCCTATTGAATTGCTTCTTTCACTATTGAAGGTTCAGACAGTAATTTTCATGCATTGGTCCATAGAAATTATTTGAAACTAGTCCCCACAGTGTATGGGTTCAGACAACTTTCATGTATAGGTCCTTAAAAATCTTTAGTACTGGTCCATTCAATTTTCTTGTTGCTGTAAATTGTACTTAATTATATGAAATTATTTGATTAATTGAGTTTAAAATCAGTGCAAAAAAAACACATAAATAACTTAATTAGCATATACTCATAGTGTAAACAATTAATCATAACTGTTAAATTTTTATTATTATCTGATACACTAATTGTATATAAAAAAATTTACATTGATAATACATAATAATTAATTTCTAAAAATTATGGTAATAATAATATGATTTTATATATTTTGCAGGATTTGAGGTGACAGAAAAGGCATGTTGTTCTACTGGAACATTTGAGATGAGCTACTTATGCAGTGACAAGAATCCACTTACATGCAAAGATGCAAGCAAATATGTGTTTTGGGATGCCTTTCATCCCTCTGAGAAGACAAACCGTATAGCTGCAAATTATTTGATCCCTAAACTTTTAGCAGCTTTTAGATAATCCATTTATTCCCTTTTAAAATAATTTAGACACTTAATATATGTTTGGTCACATCTATCTTATGATCAAATACTATTGTAACAAACAAAGAACCTAGTTCTAAACCATATAGTTTTAGGCCACATTTGGTGTTTGCATTTTATAATATATGCATTTGTCGAATTTTTATGTGATTTAATAAAATGATGAAAATAATGATGATCTACTATCAAATGTCTACATTGTTCAATCCAATCATAGATGATTCGACAGCAACATATCAAATATTAATCACTTAAATGAGTAGAATTGATTAAACACTTGTTTGAATCCACATTTGTATGGAGTCACATCTGCCTTGAAAATGTAGAAGCTAATAATTCTAGCTTTTGGTAGACGCACGTCTAGAATCATTTTTGATGCAGAAACAAACACACACTATATTTTTGAGGCACTAGTCGATTGCCTTAACTTACACGACGACAAAGCAATAACATGTTACAAATGATTCCTAATCCTGAATAACTTCTCGAAATGCGATAAGAGAGAATAAAAATCAAAATGCTGATAATTTAATCAATAAGATATGACATAATGTTAAACGCATGTGTGGCATGTATTCAATGTATGACACCTATTTCTTATATACATTCTCAAATAATGTTTTATAAGTTGAATTACCATGAGAAACTAAAGTCTTCAAATTCACTAAATTTGCACAGTAGTGGAATCCATAACGAAATGTGTAATCAGATATCAAATCAAATGTTGATATTTGACTAATAAGAATTATTTGAAAATAAAGTATTTTTCTAGTTTCTTAACTAAATACGCATTCACGAATTTGATTCCAAATTTAGTTTTAAACTTAAGGCATTTTCTAAACCCATAGAGTCAAGTACTACCCGAGCTTTAATCAACGAAAGTATGCATTTGACATTATCAAGGTCAGTCAAACTCTTGGTATTATGTCGAAATGTCAACAAATATTATTGAGTGTGTTCCATAAGATCACCTCATATAAACATATAAGAGAAATAAAATATTGTAAAATACATAACACTTTTGGTAATCACATCACTTCTTCGTGCATTATTTTCAATGGTACACTCCAAAAGGCCATGGAGAAAGGAAGAATTGTATCTTACGACAAGTTCAAATAACCAATAAAAGTAGTTGATGGTCCTTTTCATGTAGTTCCTCACTTTTCTACGCATGACTTCAATATTTATGTTGTAAAAGCTATATTCGTGGAAGACGGGAGCATTGACATTGCAATTGATGGGTTCTAAGAAAAGTCTTTAGATAAGGTGTATCCTAAGAATGATGAATCATTTATAAACTTTTTTCAGAAGAAATATAACACCAACAAAAATGTCATGTTGTATCTTTTATACCCTATATTTTATCCCTAAGACCCCTATTATTTTACATCTTTGTAATGCATCAAGATCACAACCTTGAGTTGCCTCTTAACCTTTGCTCTCTCTCCCTTCTTTAAGCTTTCCTTTGAGGGATCACCAAGCCCCTTATTGTGTGTCTTGTACATTTTTTACATACTTTATGTTTTACTAATATCTAATCAAAATACAAAAGATATGATTTGTTTCCCTTTGTTTGTTTTGCAAGGACAAGTGTGAATCAAATGGATCAAATAAATTCCCTCAACTAGAGTTTTTATCTAATCAAAGTCAAAGTATGGTCAATATTGATTCTCAAGGACTTGTACATTAGGTATTGATTTATAATATTAGGTCATATCATCCTCAAACATCATTCAATCATTAATAGATCAAGAATTCCCCAAGGGTTGGTTGCTTATTCCTCAAGATAGGTCAAAGGTTCATGTATTTATTTTCATGCCTTCTTCATTAAGTAACCTCAAGTTTTGACAAGTGTGAGCATATATAAATGAATAACTCATAATTATAAGTTCATATGAGCCTCATCATGCTTTTAAATGAAAGAAAATATCAAAAGTATCAAAGTTATACAAAGTGGTTTGACCTAATTTGGCAAGTTTTCAAGTCAAAGTTCACAAGACCACAACTCTTTCATTATTCAATATTTTTGGATGGTTCTTTTTGAATATGACTCTAATTTACATTCTCTATAACTTATATTTACAAGTCAAGAGCTAATTATATAAGGAAAGTCATCAAAAGTTTGAAGACATTATAGGTCACTTGTGGACTTAGTGAATATTTGACCTATTTTCAAGTGATTTTTGCCCAACTTTCCATAATCATAACTTGCTAAATTTTTATCATATGGAGATCATTATTTTTACATAATACTCTTCTTGATTCCCTCTACAAGTTATCTTCAATGGTCAAGTTCTAGTTTTGCTTGGAAGGCCATGTAATTCATTGGGACATTACAAGTCATTTTTTAAGGCACTTATAATTTTAGAATTTTTCTAAGTATCAAGCCAGTATTTTTTGCCAACTTCAACACACCATAACTTTTGACTCAAGCATATAAATGAAACCTTTCATGGCACATTGTGATCTTTATGATGATGTCTAAACATTGCAAAAATAATAAGATCATAAAGCCTTTTGTGCATCATGCCCCCGTGAATTTGAAAATGGTTGCTTGAAGCTGAAGCTTGCACCATGATCAGATTTTTGAATCATTTAAATTCCTTTGTTAAACCAAATTAGCACGCGTTTTTGCCTCTAATCAAGTGTACCAAGATTCCAGAAGGTGTTTAGCATCCAAAATACACAAATTGAGTGAGTTTTGCAGGTGCACCAAGTCACACTTTTTATGCTTCAATATTGCACACAAATTCAGTGCATAGATGATCATTTCACCTATCTTAATATTCCATTTGCTTTTGATATAAATATAGGTTCATTCCTCATCATTTTCCAAGCTTTAGAGGGCCAAAAACACTTTGCATAATTCACTCTAAACCTCAAAATTCTCCGAGTTTGTTCTCTTATTTCCAAAGTTTTTAACCCAAATTTTCAATTCAAACTCCATCGTTGATATTCTATGAAGCTTCTCCAACAAGAATCAAGCCTTGAGGTGCACCATAACTCCCTGACCAAGTCAAGTTTCAGAGTTATTTCACCATATTTCGTTTAGGTAGATTCCTGCACCAAATTACTTCAAACTTTTTACCATAATGTAGTCTTTGATCTCCTGAAACCCATGTTTCTTTTGGATTGAATTTTCATCTTGATTTGAGCATTTTATTTCGAAAATTATTTTCAATTCTCTTCTGGTTTTCTCCAAAATTATCTTTGCTCAGTTTAAATAAATTTGAATGGTGAATATAGATGAGATCGCAAGGAAAAGACGAGTATAATGGTATAAGTCTAAGCATCTCATGTTACCATTTGAGGATTCACGATTTTTGAACTTTTTCTAAACATTTGAGAGGTTGGAGGTTAAATATGATGAGGTGTTTCATATCAACCAATAACAGCGTACCAAATGTTTTAATTCTATTGGCTTGATTGTGAAGGTGTGAAAAACACAAGAAATTGGAGGTTTGAATTGGGTTTTAAATCAAAACTTTTCTTTTAAAAAATATTCCCCTTTAATTAAAATACTTTTTCCTTCACTCTTGATAATAACAATAATTAAGAACAGGAAGTAAAGAACAAGGTATGTTTATACTAGTTCACTTGAAAACTATCAAGCTAGTTTAGTCCACTCGCCAAGGTGATTTTGCCTCTCTCAATCAAGGACTTAATCCAATAATCCAACGGATTATTACAATTCACAAGCTACCCGCAAGTGACTAACAACCTCTAAGACACACAAGTCCTAGACTTCTTAAGGATACAAACCTAATTGGTCCCTTAAGGAAAATCAAACTTCTAAGACACACCAGTCCTTGACTTCTTAAGGATACAAACCTAACTGGTCCCTTAAGGAAATCAAACAATTGTTTGAATACCAGTTTTGTTTACAATAATATTGCTTCTACATAAGCTGAATATGTAAACTATTTTAAGAACAATGACTTAAGAATATAAAAGCTATGAACAATGCTTGTGCGTGGATATGCAGTAAAAAATTAGCTTCAGCTTTCTCTCTTAGTCTTCAAGCCTTTATATAGCCAATAAAATAATATATCCATTGAGGGGTACTCTTGGGATTTCCAGAAACATTGGCAGCTTGAGCAATCACGTGGGGGACAAGATCGTGCAACGCATCCATCCTTTCATGATAGTGGAATGAAATGTTGATTGTACCATGTACTATTTGTACCACGTTAATGTTATTTTTTTTCTTTCTGCACTTCAGAGGCTTTTGCAAGCATGATTTTAGAAGCGAGAACATAAAATAAGATCATCAGAACTTCAAGTCTTCAGAGTCTTCAGAACTGCGTCTTCAGCACTTGGTCATGAGAGCCTTTTCTTAGAATCTTGGGTCTTCAGAACTTCAAGTATTTAGAGTCTTTATAACTTCTGTCTTCATATTTTTTGTACCCTAAAATTTCCCTCCCATTTTTACTTAAAACATACTCCTAGAGGTCCTCAATTGCTTAAGTTGACTAAGGATTGACCAGACAAATCCTCCTCCTAAGACAATGAGCCTCAAACTAGGGTTTCACTCCTCATCAAGATGTTTGAGTTACAATGGTCCTAAATGGTTTCCATTTCCCTAATATGCCCTCAAGATCATCCATGTCAAGTTTCATGCCTTGCACAAGAAGTTTGCTCAGTCAATTGCTCAGATGCCTGAAAATCAACTATATTAGGTCAAAAGTCAACTGTGGCCCACATACAATCAAACTTCAAGATTTTTGGTCAACATCAACATTTTGAAGTAATATCCATCATTTGATCAAGGGTTAATCATGATTCCTCAAGGAATGCTCCAAATTCATCAAAACTCAAAAGTTGCTAAATTAGGGTTTTTACAGGAAAAGTCAACCAAACTTTGACCAGGCATAACTTTCTCATACTTTAACAGAAATTTCTAATCCAAGGCTCATTTTGAAGAGAATCAAACTCCCTACAACCCATCTTCATCCCTCAAGTTCAAAAAATGCACTC